ATATATAAATATAAATAAATATATATATATATATATATATCCATCTATCTATCCATCTATCTATCCATCTATCTATCCATCTATCTATCTATAGCTTACAAAAATATTTCTCATTTCGTTATTTCAATTTTTGTGTTGAAGAAGAAACATTCCTTTGAACTGGCATCAATGTAGTTTTATACACCATTGTTTAATTAATACATATTTGTTTTTAATTAATTAATTAGTTTTTTGATTGTTTTGTTAACTAATTAACTGTTTATTACTTGCTTAATTTTGAAAACTTCGCTAAATTCTCAAGTTTTGAAGCGTTAATTTCCGTATTTAGAAGAGGGTTTTACACTGAGACTTGATGAAATTGATTCAAATTCAATTATTATTTTTGTTACGTAAAACGCGTTTTTTTTAATGAGAAATTTAATAAAATATTGTCAAAATTAAAAAAAAAATTCTACCCGCCAAACAAACAAAAAAAATTCAAAAAAAAAAATTCAAAAATGGTTTTTCGCCTAGTTTCGCTTTCGAGAATGACGCTACATCAGGGTTTTCGATGACTTTCGTTTTCAATCTTCATCCTAATAACAACAACAAAACAAAAATAATAACAACAATTATAATAATTACAACAGTAACAACAATATCAACAGAATGATAAAAACACTAGCAGACCTACCCGTGACCTTATATACTCCAGTGACAATGGCCACAAAGATGACCAGGAAGATGGCTGATACGAAAAACACCAATGGAAAGATTATTCTATTGAGGAGAAGTGCTAGAAAATTGAATTTTTATTATTATTTATTATTATTATTATTTATTATTATTGTTGTTATTGTACCAACCATAACACGGGCCAGTGTTCATTTTATTATCAACTCTATGGAAGCCCAGAAGGCATTCACATCTGTAACCGCCAGGCTCGTTTTCGCAGTAAGTTGTCGACTGATCACAGAACTTAGACGCTCTAGAACATTCGTTTATGTCTGTTTATTATTATTATTATTGTTGATGTTGTTGTTGTTGTTGCAACTGAATTTTTACCCCGGGCTTCAAAAAAATTAGAATGCGGGCAAATTTTTATTTCGACCTGAACTTTTCGCAATTTTCACGAACTAACCTACACGTACATATACATACACATACATACGGACTCACACACACACATATACATACAGACTCTCACACACACATACATACAGATTCACACACACACAAACTCATACATACAGACAGACTCTCACACACACATAGATACACACACACAGACAGACTCTCTCTCTCTCTCACGCACACACACACACATATATACAGATTCACAGACACACACATATACATACATACAGACTCTCTCTCACACACACACACATACCTACACATATCTGATCACCGTCGCCGTACTCGTAGCCTTTACTGCAGTTGCATATTCTCATTCCACCCTTATCAATGAAGCACTTTTCAGGAGTGGGGCTTGTACATAATTCTTTCAATCTGCACTCCTCCGTCTCTGATTACGCCATCATAATAATAATAATAATAATAACAACAACAACAACAGTAGTAATAATAATTAATAATAATAGAAATAATAATGAGTTACTGACCGATGCACCGATCGTTAACCCTTTGATAACCAAGCCCGCAATTCTCATAGGTGCACTCTAGAATCATCCTGTCCGAATCAGGAGTTTCTAGAAGTAAAAATTATTAATTGTTATTATTAATTATTATTAATATTTAAAGATAATTAGACGAGATGTCACAATAAGTGGTGTGGGATTTCTAAAATGGGAAAAAAAAATCCGTAAAAAAATCACCTCTACACGAATCTCTAGCATGCAAAAGAACGATATTATTATTATTGCTGTTGTTGTTATTATTATTATTATTATTACACAAACATCGCCCTGATGTTGAATTATCTTCAAAATTGTCCTCAAAGCATTTGCCGCTTAGCGTACCATAGCAGCCAACATTGTTACTGGGACAATCTTTTTTAGAAAAAAGAAGTAATAAATATAATTATAATTGAAATAATAATGATAATAATAATTGAAATAGTAATGAAAATAATAACCTCTTTCGGTACAGTGATCACCGGTCCATCCATCCATGCATTCATCCTTGAAGCATATTTCATACTCTCCGTATTTAACACTACCCCGGCACTTGTAAAGATTTATTTCTTCGCCTCCGCCATCGCAAACTGCTTGTTTTAGTTTAATTACAGGTAATTAAATGATTTATCAACGAATTAATTAACTGGTTAATTAGATCGTTAATTAATTAGTGAAGACAATTCACACTTCTTACGCACCTGAGTTATTAAAACTGGGGTTGGCAAACTTTTTGCTGTGAGGGTCCCATTGAGAACTATTTTACATTTGAAGGGCCGCATATGTGCTTAAAAAGCAAATTTTTCAGATTCGGGGCAAAATTTTTTTAAGATTTGTGGCCCCTTTTGGTCATAATGCCTGGCTGGCGACCTTATTTTGGCAAACAAGGCTTCGAGGGCCACATAAAATAGCGGGCCCTATTTTGCCCACCCCTGTATTATAGCCATACATACGCATATTTCTTTTGAAGGCCCAGTGCGTCATACCACACCATAGGATGTCCTTGTAATCGGAGCATACTTTGTGGCAGAGGTCCTTCGCAATTGAGTACTGGACATTCAGGTGGCTGTTCGGATGGCAGGTGCAGAGGCAGCCGTCCTGATATTTTGTGGGGGTGAGGGAAATGCTGTGTGGTGTAATGGTTAAAGGTGTCTGCTACTGCGCCAAAGTGTCTGGGTTCGATTACACAAAGATCTCATCACATGATTTTCGTGTATTCTTTCATTCTATTTATGAAATTTTATTATGGTCATTTGAATATCTGTGAAAACCAGAAAGTGATGATGATGATCTTTATGATGATGATGATGATGACCTTTATGATGATGATAATGATGATCTTTATGGTGATGACAATGATGTTGCAGTTGACGTGGCTTCACATCCACACGTATCACCATCAACAAACACAACATCTGCAAATAGGCGTGAAAACCACGTAGCATCACCACAACACACATCGTGGGAGTCTTCTTGCGTTCAAACCCAGTCAAATCGAGACCAGATGTGAGAAATTTCTAGAAATATTTTCACCAAAAAGTTAACCAATGTTGCGTGTGGGTAGTTGTTTTGATACCAGAGGTACAGACACTCCTCTATGATGGCATTCGTACAGTTATCAACAAAGGACTGCTTCTTCATCTTACCCAAACAGCCCATGTGGAATGTATAAATACCTTTCTTGACTTTTTAATTCGCAAATTTAATAATGGAATTATTATTATTATTATTGTTATTATTATTATTATTATTGGAAAATATGAATAAGTAGATGTCGACTGATCATATTTTACTAAAAGTAAAATATTTTTTAATGATGTATCTGAAATTTGGACAATCAATTTGATCGAAAGAGTGTTACATTTTGATATTTCTACACCTAAAAATAATAAATTCAGAATAAATATTTATAATTTATTACTATTTAATTAGATTTTTTATGATAATTACCTAGAAATACTAAAAAATATTTGGGTGGGAGTTGATTTTTTGGCAGGCAGTCTTCCAGCATATGAGATTCGCCTGTGACGTTCATTGCACACATGCACTGATGCCCCTTCTACGTTTTAGTAACCATAATTCACGTTAATTATTAATCATTAATTATTCATAATTAAACATAATTGTTAATTATTTATTCATAATTAAACATAATTAATATTTAGATAATTATTCGTAATTAAGAACCATATTGGAAGCGAAGATGTACTCGTTTGATAGACAGATGTCAAGGCACATTTCGTCTGATAGGTTTGTCGTGTTTCCGATTTCCTTGCCATGAAATCCCTCATAACATCCAAAGTAGTTTTTGAGATTATTTTCTGAATTTATTTGTTTGTTTGTTTAATCATTTATTCATTCATGGGTTCATTCGTTCGTTCGTTCGTTCGTTCGTTTGATGAACCATCATTCGTACGTTCATTCGTTCATTCGCTCATTCATACATTCATACATTCATTCGTTCATTCGTTCATTCGTTCATTCATTCATTCAATCATTCATTCATTCATTCAATCAATCATTCATTCATTCACTCATTCAATCATTTAAAGATTAAAGTGAAAAATAAGGCTAACCGGCCTTTATATAACGGACAAATGAATTTGAGCAAAATACCCTTAACAAATTAATGACCAGTACAAATACCGACATTTTATTTACAATTAGAAAAGTTTCTCAACTCTAGAAAGATACTATCTCATCATGAAATTGAGTTTCAAATGAAACTAAGCTATCTGTGAAACTGGCCCCCCCACACACACACACGCACAAATAATAGAAGAATGATTGCAAACTAATTAAACGCTTGTGAAATTTAAATAAACGCTAAAAAATCGAAGTTTGATTTCAATATTCAAAGTATTTTCCACACAAAACTACTAGAGTCAACTGCAGTTGTTAGAGGATATTATATTTTGTTGAATTGATGTTGTCATGGTATGGCTACTACATAATAAAGGTACTATACCGAGACAATTTACTAAATGATAATGATACTATACCGAGACAATTTACTACATGATAACGATACTATACCGCTATACCGAGACAATTTACTACATGATAACGATATTATACCGAGACAATTTACTACACAATAACGATATTATACAGATAAAACTTACTGGCTACTACACAATAACGATACTACACCGATACCGGCACTGGCTACTACAAAATAACGGTACTATACCGATACGCTATATCAGTTACTGATAACGATACTACACCGGATCTAGTTAAATGACTACAAATAGACTTTTCACAAAACAATGAAATCTATAAATGCTATAAATTTGTTATCGGTATCGCTGAGAAATGATTCAAGAATCAATCGAGAGAGTGATTAATTCATTCAAATTTTTCTGACCATATATGTCCATA